CACCAGTGATTGATTGATTGTTAACATTTTGGTTTAAAAGGTGTTGTGTTTAAAAAGCTTCTGGAGCGGTGTTGCTTTTGTTTCATGTGTCAGAACTATTTACTGCAAAGATAAACGATCTAAGTGAATGTGTTCCAAAATAGGCTTCATAAATGCAGATCTATAGAGGCTTTTCTCTAGGGTTAATGCTGTGTGTTCATAGCATTTAATGTTTCATAGCAGTGCTTTTTCATGGCTGATATTACAGGTCACACATTTGGGAAAAGAAAACCAAGAAGTTCAGACTTGTACTTCCTGAGGAAGTAACTAGTGTAGCTACAGTATAATTAAAGTCCTAAATAAATGATGTGCTTAAAAACAGACAGATTGAAAACAAACAAAGAAAAAAAAAAAAAAACAGGGGAAATAATGAGCTATTTCTTGTTGTACATGATCTTTTTGTACGACAAAATGTGCAAAAGCGTTTGCGGTTGGCTGGGGTCTTCCTCTCTTTTCATAAAAATGGGAAGACCACGAGAATCATGAGCAGGAGCAGGCTGTGTGTGGGCAGTGGGCAGTCCGCAGGCAGGCACAGTCACCGCCTGGTTTAAGAAGCGTGTGAAGCAAAGTTCAGCATGTGCTATCGCTAAGTCTGTGTCACCCTCTCTTTCGGGCTGGCACAGCTGTTCAGCTGCCAGCCAGTGAACCATTTTGGGGAAGTGATCTAGCAGAAAAACAACCGGTGTGAGGTGGTGAAGCTGCAGCTGTCCTTCAGGTGGATCTGCTCTCTAGGGAGTTGGTGGCCAGGGTGAGCGAAGAGGACAGCCTTCCTGAAGGCACCAAGCAGCTGGAAGTGAGGGCTGCACCCAGACGCTGTGTAACACAGTTGCCAAATGCAAGCCTACCCTGTGTCACCATTAAAAGGTGAGGAGAAACTAAGTGGAGATAGGACAGTAATATTTAGCTACAGGCTGTGCTATTTAAGATATTAAAGGTACAGTAAGGTACATTGCCCAACTTGTAGCCAACTCTATAAGGAACGAGGAAGGGATAAAAAGAAAGGAAATAAATTTCAGCTCTTGAGACTCATAAGCAAACATAATCACACAGCCTTCATTTTGCTGCGGACCAAAAGCTCCCTTTTCTATGCACTGTCATCAACACGACTAGCAGCGAAACACTTCCAGCTCTGGTTATGTGACAGCTAAATGATTGCTACAGACTAGCAGGAGGAGAGTGGAAAGTTAAGGCTGTGGGTTCCTTGTGAAGGAGGCATGTCTCAGAAACAGTACCTCTTGGGTACTGTTGCGCGGGAGGATAGATGAAAATACATAATTTAAAAAAGCAACCACCTGTATGGGTGTTTTCATGCACTACCTGCAGGAGTGACAGCTTGTGGACCTAGAGTTACTGTGCTGAATTCTCTGTTGCACACACAAGATGAATCTCAGTATCAGTCAATGGGATCTGGAAGCAGAAGAGGAATGAAGGATCCCTAGAAATCAAGCAGCCTCCTTGTTCAGTTTCTTCTGAAACAGTTCCTTACATATACTAAGGAATGTTATCTTGGAGTCAAGAGCTCTTCCTAAATGCGGCCCTGACAAAATTATCAGTTTTCTGACAAAATACTAATTCTAATGCTATATGTACCCACATAGAAATGTGAGCACGAAATTCCATTCCACCAGTACTCCTGGGCTATGGCCCACTTGTGTTTCCGTTGTAGATCTCTGCTCAGGGACCTACACACATACACACGTACACATGTGAACACACATTCATCAAGCTTCTTTTTTTTTTTTCTTTTTTTCTTTGCTTAAACGATCATTCAAAAGTGATAATTTTTTGTTTTGTTTTATTGTGTTGCTTTTTTTTTTTCATTTTGTTTTTTCTTTTTGGGAGGGTGGAAGAGGGGTGAGGGGAAGAGGGGAGAAAAGGGAAGGAATTTAATGAAAGACGATACTTTGTCATCCTATCCTGATTAGAGGTAAATTGAGTAAAAAATAAAAATTCTTTTCAACACCTTTTTGGATCCTGTGTCTACCAAGGAAACAGACTTTAACAAATTATTGCAAAACAAATTCTGTTATTGTTTTTAGTGCTCCACTGAAGCAAATACTTTCAAAAAGTATAAACAATATCTTTAATGGAAGTTATTTGATTCTGAATAGTGCAGCATATATAAAAACAAACAACAACAGAAACAACAAACAAGCAGCATAGGATAATCTGTAAAATAATGCAAGAAAATCTATATTTTGGAAGGGGACAGGAACTGGCACAGTACTTTGGCCCAACAGTGCAACAGGAAACTTTTCTTAAAACAAACCAAAGTCCTGCTGTTAGCAATCTTACACAACGACACTGGTATAAGAAGAGATAATTTCTGCTTATTCCCAAAAAAGCAATTTGTAAGCTGTTTTTGATCTCATTTTATCATCTTCATTGTTTCTCGCCTTTTGCGCAATAAACTCTTAGGGAGCATTAATTTTAAAAATTGCTTTGCATTTTGCAGTATAAAAAGCAGAAGCATTAAAACTGATACAATCTATGAGCACCAAGCCTTAGAAAAGGAACTATTGATCAAATTGCAACACCTCATGCTCAGAAACTGCAGTGAATTAAGGCAATATTTAGAGGTTGTCATGAGCTGTGCAAAAACTGGCGCTTTTCTTAAGGACCAAGAGCTTGCAGAGATGTCATTGCCAGATAACCTCATCTTATGTGGGGGAAGAAATTGAATTGCTGGGTCATAAATGCTCTGTGTGGCCGACAAGCAGCACACAACTCATTTCAATGCATTGGGCTCGCAGCTGCAGAACTTTTGGAACACAGGTGAGCCGCTCTCCCAAGCGTTTCTTACAGATCAGACTTCACCAGTGTGGGGAACTCAACTGGGACACATCCACCATCCCCCAGACTGCCCACAGGCCTGTCCCTGCAGCACCAGGGGCTGGCAGGGGGAAGCAGCTGTGTCTGTGGCCAGCTGGGCCTGCAGCCCGCAGAGTGAGGAGGGCAGTAGGTACACATGCCCCCTGCACTTCGTATGACTGGCTGCAAGGATGCTCACTTCTTTACACAAAGGGTTTCTAGGCACCTGGACAGGCCCCCCCCAGAGAGGTGGTTGAGTCACCATCCCTGGGTGTGTTATGAGAGTGGTGAGGTGCTGGAACAGGCTGCCCAGAGAGGCTGTGGATACCCCATCCCTAGAGGTGTTCGAGGCCAGATTGGATGAGGACCTGGGCAACCTGGTCTAATATTAAATGGGGAGGTTGGTGACCCTGCACATGGCAGGGGGGTTGGAGATTCGTGATCCTTGAGGTGCCTTCCAACCCTGGCCATTCTGTGATTCTGTGTTTAAAAACCACAGAATCTGTGTTTGGATGTGGTGCTCAGGGACATGATTTAGTGTAGAGCTCTTGGAGTTACGGTAGTACGGTTAGGTCGTGGTTGGACTCGATGATCTTTAAGGTCTTTTCCAACCTGAGTGATTCTATGATTCCTGTAATTTTCTTGACTCCACAGACTGGTCTTATATAAATAAATCTTTTTTTTTTTTTTTTTCTTTCTTTTTTTTTTTTTTTCTTTCTTTTTTCCTAGTACTGTTTATCTGAGGTGCCATAATTTGCAGATCTGAATGCATACACACACATCGTCATAAGCATCTCCCATTTGTTCCCATTTACCCCTCGTGCTGACTACGGCCACCTCACAGCCCCGCTGGTCAAACGTTATGAGCGAAGCGAAGTGCGTCCTCAGGCCCCGTGTCGGGACACCTCCCGCCCAGAAGCCGCTGGCCGGACAGCCGCTGGGAGCAGGTGGGTGTCGCTGCCGCCAGGCCCCGCACGGAGCCCGTTCTCCCGCGGGCATTCGCCGGGCTGCGGCAGCTCCCATCTCCCTCAGCGCCGAACCGGGGAAAGCGCAACCCCCGCGCGGAGACACCGCCGAGCCCGGCCGGGCAACGGGGCCTCTCCCCTGTCTCGGGCCGGACCGGGCCGGGCCGTCCTACGGGGCCATGCGCTGACTCCGCCGCCAAGATGGAGGCAAGCACTGCCAGCGGTGCCGCCCGCTAGGTAGCCGCGAGGCGGCCGGCCCGCGTAGGGGCAGCGGGGCTCCGGCGAGGCAGGTGCGCGGGGCGGCGCTGCCGCCGGGAGCCGCGGCGGAAGAGCTGGAGGCGGGGCCGCGTTCCGAGCACGCTGGGCGGCGGCGGCCGCGCTGGGAGTGACGGCGGGGCCTGAGCGGATCGGCGCTGCCCCATGGCGGCCGCCCGCCTCGGCGGCCCGCCCGCCTGGCGGTGACTCGGGCTCCCCCTCCCGCCCCTCCTCCTCCTCGTCCGCCGCCGCCTCCTCCTCCCTCCCGCTCCGCTCGCCCAGCCCGGGCCCGGCCCAGCCGCCACCGTCGCCCGCCCGCCGAGCCCGGGGCGCAGCCGGGAGCCGCGCGGGACCATGACGGTGGAGCAGAACGTGCTGCAGCCCGGCGGCGCCGCCAAGGTGAGAGCGTTGCCCGGCCCCGCAGCGCCGGGCCCGGCCCGGAGCGCGCCGCGATCCCCTGCCCCCGGCCGAGCCCGGGCCTAAGCGGGGCCGCTCCACTCCCTTGCGGGGCCACGGCCGGCCGCGCCGCCGCCTTCGCCTCCCGGGGAAGTGCGGTCCCGCTGGCAGCCGGGCCTGCGTCCTGCCCGCGGTCGCCCCGAGGTACGGCCCCACGCGCCGCGGGGTCTGGCCGCAGCGCCGGCTCCGGGGAGAGCCCTTAGCCGGCCGGCCGCTGCCCCGGGCTGGGTGTGCGGCCCTGTTGCGCTTGTGGTTGCGGGCGGAGGGGGAAAGGTGCGGTGCCGAGGTTGCGGGAGGGCCTGCCCGCTGCTCCGTCAGGGTGGAGGATGCTCGTGTGCGCGGCATGCCGAGGCCGAGCAGTGTGTGCGAAAGGTGACAGCTATTTTGGGGCCGTGACACATACATGGCTGTGACGCTCTCTTGCTGAAGTAGAAAAGTGGTGGTGTGTTTAGGGGCTGCGTTAATGCACGTTATGAAAGGGGGCTGAGCGAATGGCAGTTACACATCTTTTAGTGTGGACCAGGAGTTGCTGAAAAATCTCTTTAGAAATGGACACCCTCTACAGCTCTTTGCTTGTAGCAGATGGGACTGGCGAGGGGAAGACGATCCTGGAATCTAACCGCGGGGCTCTCTATTCCCCCCTGAAGGTAACTGTTGCTTACTCATGTGTCTGCCCTGCTTACAGGACAGACCTGCCTCCTCTCCCATGCTGTATTTTTTTTTTCTGTTGCATGTGATGCTTTTGTGGGATCATGGAGGTAGGTTTGTGTTGGTGTAGTCAGGATGGAAGTTTAATGGTAGTGGTCACACTTCATAAGCAGTGATGAAGGTGTAATTGGTCCAGGTGGTGCAACTTACATTCATGAAGCTCTCCTGGAGGGTGATGCAGGTATCTCTGGGCTGCTGTCAGCTAGGAGCATATATTTTGGCAGCCTCTACAGGAAGGAGAGGGCTGAATGGACATTTTTGTCCCTTCCTTCCTTTGTTGATATGGTTTTCAGTTGAGGAGAGCTAGCAGACTGTGTGCCGGGCTTCTGCTGGTTGGGCTTGTGCTGTGCTTTCTGTGTTTAAACGCTTCTTCCTTGCTGCTATTTATCTGGCAGTTTTCCTGAGAAGGTGTTCTTCTGCAAAATGCACTGTTAAATATCCCTTAATTATTGTATTGGACGTTCTGTTATGTAATCCTTGCTGAGCCTTTCTAGGGCTTGATGATCTTTCAGCAGTGCTACACAGAAAATGTTACGGATAAACTACTGCTTCTAGGTCAGGAGTTCAGGAGGATTACAGTTTCAAGAATTTCTTTACTGTGAGGGTGACGAAGCACTGGAACAGGCTGCCCAGAGGGGTGGGAGTTTCCCTCTCTGGAGATATTCAGAACCCGCCTGGATGCTTCCCTGTGCAACCTGCTGCAGGGAACTGCTTTAGTAGTGGCTTAGACAAAGGTGGTCTCCAGAGATGCCTTCCAACCCACCTTTACGGTTGTGTGTAATAAGCTTTAAAAGCGACTGGAGATTGAATCATAAATATTATTGGGGGCCGTATGCTGGAGCAGAGAATTAATGTCAGCAAGAATTTTAAAGCTGGCATTTCTCTATGAATGCAAATTACTACAGTATCTGCAGAAGCTGTGTAAAATTTCAAACTTTTTTCATAGTAAAGGTTTGTATTTTTTATTTCTGTTGAACCATCTGATTATTGTGCTGAGATTCCTTATTACCTACTTTATCCTCAGTTGCATTCTGGGGGAGGGGGAAACAAACTTGAGAATAGTCTGCAAAAAATCATGTTTGACTCGTATTATTATTTAGTGAGGCAAACAAATAGCTAACTGAGTGACAAGCTTTAACATTGTACAGTTTATTCTCATTTAAAAAGAAAATTTATGGAAGTACAGTGGCCTGAGGCATGGTTGGAGGGATTACCACTAGCTCATCATCTTCCCTGAGAAGAAAATCCCATGCTCCATAAATAAAGAGAGTTTGTTCTACAGACCTCAAAGTTTGTCGTGATTGTTTTCTGTTAGTGTGAGGAGACCACATCTAAACAGAATTATATTGCATTTCCAAGAGATGTCTGAGTCACCAGCATACCTTATTCACAGCTCTGGTTCCCAACATTGTTCATCAGATGTTTTCTTACTGTCATACAGGAAGTACGTGTTAAGCTTTAGCAGAACTGGGAGATGCACATTTTTATTAATAAATACCCCAAGTACAAACAGCCCACTTCCCACTTAAGCTGTCTTTAGCTTATTGTACAGTCGAAGAATTTGGATCAGTTCAAAGGAAATTCTTTCATGTTGAGTGATCATCTTGATTCCTCATTGAAAGTAGCAGTATATCTTCTGGAGCAAATAATCAGTCTTTTGACTCTTGTCACTCTCAGCTTCTCTGTGATCCTGTGGTGTGGTGGGGTGTTTGTAAGCTGTCTGTTCTCACCACATGAAGCCCAGAGAATTTGAACGTGGCTGCAGAGTGTCTCTTGTGCTGTGCCCTTCTCTGGTGTGTTCCTAGAGCAGTGGGTACAAGAGCAGGGGGTGGCAAAAGGTAGTTTTCTAGTGATTGGGGGGAAAAAAAAGATGTGGAGAAGTCAGACATGCTTCAGCAGTGTCAGCCTAACCATAATTACTGTGACGGTCATCTTGTGACAACAGATTGGAGAAACTGGATTTCAGAGGGTGATAGCTGGCGTCTGAGCTATGTGTGTCAAGTTCTACTGCTTTTGGAGAAGGGCTGAGTGTTGGTGTGTGCATGGATTGAAAGAGTAAAGAGTGTGTTTGTTTCTACTCCTCTGCTATTTCAGACCTGTGATTCAGCACTATATTGGTAGTCTAATCACAGGAGTAGTGAAATAAAGTTAGAGGTGTCAGTTTTCAATTTTTATTTATTTATTTATTTATTTATTAGAGAAGTGCATATCTGAGGATATTTAGCACTAGAAACAATGGTTGGTATTAAGCAAGATCTAATACTGTTCACTTCTCTTTTGCTCTTTTTCAAGGTATTGAGAAAACTGTTAGCTAGTGTATGTATTTCTACTCTGCTTGACCTATGTATTTGATGTCCTTACTGGAAGAGTGTAGTCCTGTGGCAGTAACAGCTTTTCTTTGCTGAAAGCAATAGCTGCTAACTTCTTAATACCGTGCAGTTGTACATACAGAAGATGGTGCAGTTGTGTGTCTCCAGCAACAGAGACAGTGATGTTTATTCAGTTCTGAATGGTGGGAGGTGATCTCAGAGAATATCCCCTCGGCATTTGGTACATGCAGAAAGTATTTGAGAGTTGTGCTGTTTTTCACCTTGATAGATGGTGACCTTCCCAGCAGCCCTACAGCCTTAATTATCTCAGTGTTATCATCAGCTGAGCTCAGGGCTGACTGACCTGCCATTTGCCCCATAGACCTACATCTCCTCATGTGACCAGAGGCTCTCTTCCAAGTGTTCTCCTTCATCTGATAAGAGTTCCCTGCGCCATGTAATGGGGCCTTATCACATATTGCCCCATGTGCAGGATGCCTGTGTGTGGGCTGTATGGCAGGCCAGCTAATCATGGTGGGTTTGGATGTGGGGAGTTAGACCTCTTTGGCTGACATGGAAGGTTTTATGACCTCTTTTGGCCAGAGAAAGGAGAATAACCAGACTGGTGTACTACCTGTGTTGTCACCAGCTACTCATTAATTTGCGGTAATTATTTGTAGTGTGCAGTTGAGTCACCAATTTAGATATACATGTCTTGTTACATAATTTAAAAGATGTTCATTAAAAGCCTACATACCATATGCAGATATACATTCTGTCCAGACTCAGGTTTCTGTTTCTGAAAGCTAGAGCTAGGCACAAAGACCAGTGATGACACAGAGTAGTTTTTGAAAGTCTCCTCAGGTTGGCATGTTGAATGCTTCCCTTATTATGAATGTTCTGGTGGGTTTTGCTGGCATTTTGTGACCTATTAGAATTATCACTGAGTTTGTAGCTATGTAGTTTTTTGACTCCTGTTTTATTCGTCGTCGTTGCTGTTGTAGTAGCATAATATGCTATGAATCTGCACCTTTTTGAAACCTTTAGTGGTAGCTTAAAACCTACTGCGTTCTAGAAAATCTTTCACAAATATTCAGTAATAATTTTGGTGGTGGTAGCAGGAGTTTACAACTATAATACTGTCATTATCATCTGGCTGAAACAGCATCTTTAAGAAGGGTAGGTCCCTACTTTGTGAAGAAAATACTACTTCAGAATATTAAAAGTTAAGATTTATCCTATTTTTTTTTTTTTTTTTTAAATTCTGTTAACCCTTTGCAGTAGTTTAAAATGTCTTTACGACTTCCCAAATAATCCTTAGGGTAAGTCCATCTCCTCAGCCATTAGGAACGGTAGCTACAAAAGATGACACAACCCATCAGCTTCTATGAAAAGGTCAAAAAGCAAATTACTCATATCTTAAAATAGCAAAATATTTCACATTTCTAAAAGTGCTTTGTAGAGGTAAGTGGGAGGATAATAGAACTGTTGCTTTTTTTGTTCTCTTACATCTTGAAAAGGTTTGAGAAGGGAGGAAGTACAATCTCTCTAATCCTGTGAAATCGTCAGTGTTTGTGGGCCTCTCTAACTGAGGATGTAATGTAATGAGCAGGTCAGACTTGAGTTCTGATCACAAGCAGGGAAGGGAATATCATTTTTTTAGAACTTCAGTTCTTGTCTAAGTCTTCTTTTATTTCTGTCTGAAGATTGTACCTAAGCTTTGCTAGTCCATCTATTTGGTTAATCCATGGGAATCTCACCCCATAACTTCACTTATTTAGAGGATCGCAGAATGACCTGGGTTGAAAAGGACCTCGAGGATCATCTAGTTTCAACCCCCTGCTATGTGCAGAGTCACCAGCCACTAGACCAGTCTGCCCAGAGCCACATCCAGCCTGGCCTTGAATGCCTCCAGGGGTGGGTCATCCACAGCCTCCTTGGGCAACCTGTTCCAGTGCGTCACCACCTTCTGCATGAAAAACTTCCTCCTAATATCTAACCTAAACCTCCCCTGTCTCAGTTTAAAACCATTCCCTCTTGTCCTATCACTATCATGATAGTGATGTAACCCATGTAAGCAGTCGTTCCCCCTCCTGTTTAGATGCTCCCACTGGGTTGGGACTAGTTCAGTCTCATGGTCCTGGGGTATGGTGCAAGTGTGGAACCTCCCTTGACACCCTGACCTGGCTCAGGGCTGCCCTCGGAGGACAGATCCGAATCTTGGTTGAGCTTACAGGGATGCTTGGGATGAACATGGCTCATGGTGGAGCTCTGAAGGTCAGCGCAGTGATGTCAGTGATGGGATTTTCCAGGTGCCTGCTGGGTGCTTGTGGGTTCCTCTGTTTTGCTGTTCTTTGCTTTCTGTGGTGAGGAACTGATCTGCAGCTCCCAGAGCCTGGCAACAGCCAAGAACTGCACGTGACATTCCTGGTGTTCCTTTGCAGAAAAAAGTAAACCAGAACCTTAAGGGCAATGTCTTCCCTTGCATGTTTTCACATAGGAAGATATTCCTTTTAAAGGTAACTTTTTTTGAAACACAGTTTTTCTTGTTGACATCTTGTGGTTCACTTACTATGGCTCAGATCTCAAAATTCAGAGTGGTGGGACAGTGTGTCTTGTCTGTCCTGCTG